TTAACTGTTCTGGTGGTTTGGCTCTTTCTGGCATTTCTCTAAGTTTCGAGGTACAAGTAGAAGAACCAATTGGTGTTTGCTTGCAGTATGTGAAGCACTGTGCAAACACGTCGTTTTTCCGTTAAGAGTCACTGCGATCCAAGAACACTGTCCGGCTCAGGGAGATTAAATTTTTATGTCTTTTCCTCAAGAAAAGCCACTTTGTCTCTTCCCTACAAGTAATTCATAATGATTTTTCGAACCAAGAAAATATGGACGCGTGGAAGGCTGAATTACTATTACAGTGATGTTCTGCATAATTCAGTCAGTAAGCAATGCAAATGGAAGCAATAATATGGAGAGATGGCTGACCGACATCATTCCTTGGTCGCATTGTCCACGATCATACCACCATTTGTTCTCCAGACGCTTCAGCTCGCCTTTTTCATGCAAATACAATATTGCAAAATTTATGCTCTCTCTAAAAACACAATTTCTGTGCAAAACGTCATTTTTCGTACCACATTTTAAAATATTAGTTTTGGGGATAAAGAAACGATTTCAGTTTCGTATGCGCCGATGGACATATTTGAGGACAATAGTTTCTGTTTCATTCCTGAGAAATTCAAACTTGCAAGAATTTGCACCAACTCGAAAACTTGTTTTGTAGCTTGAAAAAGCGGCAAGCTTCGAGTTTGCTTTGATAGAGTCCACTATACGTGTGATTTTTTGGTTTTTAATGAAAGAACAATTTGAACAATATTTTCTGGCAGTTGGCCAGCGAATTAACTTTGACAAAATTATGTTGTAGGTCATCTGCATTGGGTCACCAGCAGGCTGACCACCGGCCATCGATGCAACTGATCAAAATAAATAGCAGATATTAAGGGAAAAATTTTAACAGGAATCTGATAGAAAATCACATTTAAAGAAAAAGAAAATTTGCTTTTTATCCTAGTCAGAAACATATCCGTGTAACTGTTTTAAAAACCATAAAAAAATTCCCCACAGCTATCTCATCCAGCA